AACTCTCGATTATCTGTTGTGTTATTCCTTTCATTTTTAAGTGAATGTTACTATCAACATGGCAGTTGTGAGAAAACACAATAATTTTCTAATTTTAAACAAATCAAACTGTGTGATATGTGAAGTTCAACCTTTTGTCAGTAGAGGGCGAACGGGCTGAAGAGGGAATCAATCCTCTTCTGACTCAGGCTGCTCGCATTCAATACTTTTCACTCCCCACTACCTAAAATATAGAATATGTTTGCTGTACTTTCTTTAGATTCTAACACTTCTCAGAAATGTCTGTTCACATCTCAGGAAACTAAGAAGTCTTTACAGTCACAGCAGTATTTCATGTGCCAGGACAAATTCAGCAGAATCAATGCCATGGTATTAAAACAACAGTGTCAAATGATTATTGTACATGTGAGAACAAATCATCTCCAGAGAGCCTGTTATGACTCTTTAGTTCTCATTCTTGCTGTTATCAGTAGGAAACGGTTCAAGTTCAAATATTTTCAACATTAAATACAAAAGTTTCTTGTTTGTTTTAAACTCAACACACAGCTAAGGCTCTGAGCCAAACTCTTTGCAAAGAGGGAAGGCCGCTCTCGTATATCAGAGTTTGTAGGGTGAGAGGCACCAGGCAGGTGTGGTGATACTCACGAGGCCCCGGGCAGTTTTCCTCTGGGAATGAGAGGGTTGCCTCTTTGGGACTTGGAGTTATGGAGAGGAAGCACTGGCTGTTGTTTGTGCATATGAACCGAAAGGCAATTCGAAGTATGCAGCTGTCTTGGAGTATCTGGGTAGCTTCTGGAAGGGGGTCTGCCTGGGGGGCTCTATAGCTCTGCTGGGGGACTTCCAAGTGGACACCTCATTCAGATTCTTCTGGTTCCCATGCTATGCATAAACATGTAGGATGTGGAAATTCCAATGCATCAACACTTTTACACACATATTCCTGGCTTTATTTCAGTTCATGACTCAACTTTTCCCCTCATTACTTAGACAACTTTTCATCTGAGCTATCAGCCCATCAACAACAACAATCACTAAATCTGAATATTTGGGAGAGTTGATGATATTTGGGTTATTATAAACATGAATGTTAGTGAGGCTATCGCAGCCAGAGAAAACATTTCACTGTCTGTCAACTATGACTCATGTTTAGAAATCATGGACAAATAATCACACTGATGTTGTGAAAAACCAGATCACCTAGAATGTAAGCCGTGTTTTTGTGTTTTTTCCCCTTTAGCTTTATAGAGCAGTGTTGTTATTTTTATTTAAATCTAATGTTTGGTTGACTCTCGTGTAGCTGTTGACTGCAGCCGATTACTGTTTGAAAAAAATATGTTAATGATGATTATATTGATGATGATATTGATACGGTGTAGAGTATTCATGTTGATGGTGATATTTATTCTACTTGATGTGCAAGAAGGCAACTCCCACCACATCAGCATGAATAGACAATGTGCTGATTTCAGGTTAGTTTTGTGCTTTTGTTTTGCTGCTCCATGTTAGCCAAAAGTCTGTTGTTTAAAATCCCTAAAAAGGTTGAACTGATTGAATATAGACCACTAGGATAGCATGAAGGTAAATCTCTCTTTGAGAGCATTTGCATCATGATTCATAGAGATGTAATGTCCATTTTTTATAGGTCTTATGAAGGCTGTGGAGCATGGATACTGTTGGTTAAAAAAAATGGCTGTAGGATGATCTCTGAAAATGTTTTGGACTGGGACTCTGTTTTTTAAGTTAAGTTTCAGGTCTCTGCAAGTTAAATTCCAAAATCTTGTCAGTGGACAACAATGGGCACAGAAAGTAATTAAATCCATTAAAACACAATATAATAATTTATTTAAATATTTTGTATATTCATTTTGTAACATATCCAACAAATGAACATCCATATTTTACATAAGTAGTTTAACATCTCTCAGTTTGTTCTTTTTAAACTAAAGTTTGTTTGTAACTGCTGCTCTGTCTTCATCTTCAGTTTCCTCCACTCTCCTTCCTCCTGCTGTGGTCCATGTTAATCAATGTTGTACCGTCCACATGATCACATGATGCTCGGCTCTTTTTAGCCCTCGGGGGAGATTGAACTGCGTTCAGAAGCCGTCCACACGCTGATAAACATACTTGACACATGCAGAGCAGATCTGTCCATCTTGATCATGGACCTGAGACTGCTGTTTGTAACTTCTGCTGTTCTCCTGGGGGCCACGCTCACCATCTCAATGGCAGACCGAACCTCACAGTGCAAAGTCAAATGGTAAGTTTAATGTTCTTCATTTATGTATTTTCATGATATGCATTCATGAAGCAAATTTAGAGCTTGTCATTGTGTATTGAGTTTGCTTTGAGGGACTCTCTCTAGGAATTCTCTGTTTTTATGTTCGATTGAAAAAAATGGTTTGATTTGATAATAAATGTCCATGCAGCAGCTGTTACTTCATGTTCACAGAGCAGATGCTGCACCATGTGACTTGCTCTTAGACGGAGATAACTCTTTCTTGTGTGTTTTTCAGTTGCATATAATTCACTTCTGTCACAGAGTAAAAGGGTCAAATGCATGTTAGACAAGGAACTTAGGAAGTCAAAGCTCTGCAGACTAATTTCTCATGCATGTTATGCAGGATATGTGGAGACCACAAGACTCACATTAGTCATACCTGTGCAGAAACATACAGAGTTAAGATGATTCTTAATATAAAGTTTGTAAAGTTAATATTTGTATTAATGATGTGTTTTTGTGGGGCTGTTCAGGTTGTTTGACATCTCATGTGAGCTTGTCCAAGGAAAGCTGGTGAACCAGATCAAGGCCTGGCAGATCAAACAGAGCTGTTTGTATGCAGGAGAGAAGTGCTCCTATGAGGTCAGACACATCTTGTTTAACTGATCTAATGTTGAGGTGTGATAAATATTGTGGCAGCTTAAGATTGAACAATTCTGCACAGAGACTAAGTGGGTCTGTACATGTGACTCGTTTGTATCAAAATTTCAAATTCCAGATATGTTTGTGGATTTATTAAACACAATAGTGAAAAACTAATTGTAAACGAAATGTTCAAAAGATGTTGATGATGATTATGGTGATGACGACAAAGATAAAAATTACGATGATGGTCAACAGAAAATGTTTCAAACTCACTCACCCTCTTTGTCAAGCCTCTGGCCACCCCAATACACATGTAAAAATAAGGTAAACCACTCCCACTGCTAATTACCGGAAATAATATAAAACTCATATAAGGAGCAAAATATAACAAATAATCAACCGAGGTAATAATACACATTACAGCTCCTACAGTAAATATATGACTTGGAAATCAATTAAAATGTCTTCCTATATCCTCGAAGACCCTCGACATAAATAACTTTTCTAGTAATGACACAGTGTTTCATATTATTTAATATATGGGAGACATGGATTGGTTGCCACTGAATTTGCTACAGCCAGTATACTGCTGTGCTTCTCAGTCTCCTTCTGTTGTATAGTTTGAAGCCAAAATAACCCCACAACGGGCGCTGCCTTACTGATGTCATCTGGTGTAACCACCGCATTGACACCACGCCCCGTCAGCTAACCACAGCACACGTTAAACTTACTGAGAAAAAGTGCAAGATCCCTTCAGAACGGCAACGTCCACAGCAGAACAGATTCTTGTGTCTGTTTGAAATCTACAGTTATGGACAATTCAGTGATTGTAGTTTAGGTTGAGTTTGAAATAGATTGTATCTGATGTGTCTGTGAGAGTGATTTTGAAACTTTTTGCAGCTTGTGGCGTCAGTTCCGTACCTGATCACAGCCACACACACCTCTCCAACCACCAAGAAACTGAGCGACCTTCAGTTTCTCCTGGAGCAGTCCACCGTCTGCAAAGTGACTGTAAGTGTGTGTTTTAGCCCCGAACAAGCTTTTTTCAAGACCACAGGACTTCAATACAAAATGTCATCATCTCTAATGTTTCTATTAAAACAGTTGAGTACCATACAGCTTCAGTTTTTATCTCTCCCCTCTTTGTGTGCTTGTGTGTGTGTGTGTGTGTGTGTGTGTGTGTAGGGAGAGGCGGTGTCTGAGTTCTCTAAAGAGCCGGTTGATAACAGCACAAACTACTGCAGCCTGCAGAACTTGATGGACGGTAAGTATCTGATCTGTTTACCTCAGAACACACCTCAAATACCATGAAAAAATGATTTCATTGAACTTTTTTGTCTTCATGAATGTCTTTGTGTTTTTCTCTGTTCAGGGAGTAACCTGATCAATGCTGAGGGGTACAAACAGTTCAGCAACAAATGGATCTGTTCTGGGTTTGATACTGCAAACTGCACTTCAACCTAACTGGAAGAAAAAAAATCTCTTTACATGAATAACCCTTTTTTTTAATTAGGTATCATCAAGATTTGATGTCGTAGTTTTTAAAATAGTGGCTTTTAATTGCAGCTAGAATCTTATTTGAACTTTGAATATTACTGAAGCTATATGTTAGAAACATGTTTTTGTTATAATTCATTGTTTATCATTTCCATTATATGAAACCAATATCCAGAATTGTTGAACAGCTGATTACTTTGAAAGATGTAATGATTGACCTGTTCTTATAAAAAAGCAATTAAATGCATTAATTCAAAGTTGTGAGCTTCTTCATGATAAACAGTGTAAATAAGTCAATCAATGGACATAATAAGCTATGAGCTGTTTAAGAAGAGTTGTTGTACTGTGTTGAGGCTCCACCAGTTTATTAGTATACAGTGACTTATAAAAAGAAGGTAAACTCTGTAATATTGTAAACCTGTAAAGAAATATACTGTTTTTGAAAGGGATGCCTAATCATTTTTCCAGCTCATTACAAAAGACAAATTACAAATGAAAGAAAAACAGAAAAAATGAAATTGAAGGTACTGTAAGTGAAAGTCATCTTTAAAATTATAAATATATTCTTTAGGTGTAATCTGTTTTTAAATTCTATCTGGCTATTTCCCAATACATATGAGGAATAACCGTCCTCCCAACATGTAATACATGATACCAAACATCTTGGTCCATTAACGTTTGACAGTTTGATTGAACACTATGTGTGCAGCAGTACTGAACCTGCAGTAACAGTGGACCAGGCTCCACCTAAAGTAGGGAAAGTGTTGTGTTAAAGTTTCATAAAAATGGTCAAAATAATCTCTTTCTTATTGCAGTGAAACAGAAATACACTGCTGGTGATTTTAAAGTGGCATACATTGAAAACAAAATGTAAACCTGATGGCATTAAATATTCAAAGTGAATAAAAATACCTCAAACTGAGAACTGAACTACTTTGAGTTAGACTGTTCAGCAACCTGTTTGTTTTATATTTGTGTTATTTACAGTTCATTTGAATCTGGAATCAAACTGTACAAAGCTATACAGTATAATGAGCATATTATATATATCTAGAGCTGTAACATGATTGTATTCCAGCCACATCATTATTTGATGTTTCCACAGACAAAAAGTTATCACAAAAGTCTAAAAAGTGCTGAGCTGTTGCTGTGTACCTATGTTTATAAAATCCTCATAGAAGATATTCCTTCATCTTTGTAGAAAAATGAATCCCATTTTCAGAAAACGGCAAAAGTTTCTCAAATGTTGTTCTTGCTCCTTTCCTGCGGAGTCGTTTGAGTCGTCTTTTTTTTACACATGCTCCCTCGCCGCTCAGTCTATGAAAAGTTTTTTTTCTGCCCACTGGGAGCATGAATGTCAGCACATGGAGTAGACTGAGGCCTCCAAGGGGCAGCTGAGTACTGGGCCATGAGGCTTGTCTGCAGCTCATTGCTTTTTACCGCCTGCTTGTGCGTCTGTGTCGGTGTCAAATTCAGTCAGGCAGCAGTAGAACAGCTTCTGGGTGAATATGGTGACAGCGTCTGCAGGAGGAGAAGAAGTAACTGTAGTTACTGTGACAATCAAAGCTAATTACTGCTGTATAATGAATTCACTTCTTTACATTTTTGACACATGGCTCGAAAACAGGGCAGTAGTCAACCACCTCCACAATCCCATTAAAACATATATTGTGCTGCAGTCAAGTGTTCTGGTGTCTTTGATAAAACTTATTGGACCATATTCCCACCGAGGCCATATTCCCATGACTTCACTCTCAGGGTGGGAAGCTCAAATGTTATTATTATTATTCATGTCTTTGTTATAATACAGGTTGTAAGTTATAGAAATAGAGAATCTGACAACCTTTTTCATTTCATCGCTGCCAGATTTAAAAAAACAACTAAGGGTGCATACACAACTAAGCTTACTTTCTGGTCATAGTGCCGCTGACCAGGGCTACAGCCCCGCCTAGTGGGGGGTGGCTATGGTAAGTAACATTTGACAGGCTTGACCAAGTGTAGTGAGAAAGCAAACCGAACCAAATGAAAATGCAACAATGTCACAACTTCCCCCCTGAATCACACCAGGTCCTCTAGACTTCATGTGTGAAAATGATCTAAGAAGACAGTGGATACCGAAAATCAAGAGAGTGCTTGGACCACATTTCATGTAAAAACATATGTTTGATTACCCATTAGCTTACAGCTTTAAAAAAAATAAACTTATTATGGAAAAAAAACACTTTTGTTTTCTCAAGATCACAGGATAAAAATGATAACTGGAAACGTACTCTTAATTAGGTAATAAAAATAATTCTAATTTTAGTTTTCCTTTGAGAGAGCAATGATATTCGTTTCTTTAGAAGCAAAACTACTTAACTTGGGAACTCAAAGCAATGGTGTTTAAAATAAATAAAAAAATTAAAGCATGGCCTCTCTTGGCCTCCGTAGCTTTGAACCAGAAACTTACTGGATAGCTTGCGTATGAACTTGGGCCTCCTTTCCTCTGGCAGGTAAATTGCCACATAATAGACCGGCACCCCTGAGAGTGCGATGCCAATTCCTATGAGGGAATTGATGGTGTCTCCAAACAGAGGGACGATGACTAAGAACAGGCTGCACAGACAGTAGATGAAGGGGAAGAACAACGTCAACTGCGGAGAGAGAGAGAGAGAGAAAACTGCTGAGTGGGAGTATCTTGTTTTTCTACAAGGATTCAAATGAACTATTACTGATGTATACTTTACACAATGTGTTTAGCTAATGAAGGCACTACATGAGCGAACAACTGAACTTTCTCAGGAGTCTAGTGCATAAAAATATAACTCAGCTATATTTCCTTGTTTATTTGATACAAAAGATCAATGAGGTTTGGCTGAACACAGAAAAACTCAAAAGGAGCAATACGTAACTCTGACTTGTAGCATTTAGTTTTACCACGTTTCTGCTCGTGGAGCTTATTTAAAATATGCAGAGGCTTTTTTGATTGGGACAATGTAAAGAAACCTCTCAATCTTTACTCAAAATGTAACTAAAGATGTTTCTGCAAGTAATACAGTAGATACAGTTTACAAAGTGGACTTTTGATATCATATCTTGTGCCGTCATACCTTCAAAGGCCTGTGTCTGTCCGGCTGAGTAAAGCGCAGGTAGATGAGGCCGGCCACAGACAGACCCACATAGAGCCAGTAACTGAAACTGAAATAATTGATGAGCTGAAATACGTCCTCCACACACAAGAAGATCAGACTCATCAGCCCCTGCAGCATGAAGAGAAGACATTCATTATTCCAAATGAACTTTGTATTTATTGTTTGGAAAAAATTAATAATTTCTACGATAAAGTTAAATGGTCCTCACACTGAACAGAAGGGCGGGTATGGGTGTGTACCGCTCCATGTGAATCAGACTCAGTGTGTCTGGGAGTTGACCCTCTCTGGCCCCGGCAAAGAACAACCTGCATGTTCAACAAAAAAGGGTTATTGATGACGTACTTATTATAAGGCTAAGGCTGTTTGTTGTTCAGTATCTCCTACATACCTTGAGGCGGCAATGATGGAAGCATTAAGACCTCCAAAACAGGACATGGCCACTGAGATAGGAATGATCCACTTGAACGGTCCAAGGACCGCATTCCCGAATGTCTGTGGGGTCAGATTAACATGGATTATTACAAACTGCCCTCTCTAGATGAAGAAGGTATGTTTTTAGAAGAACCTTTCAAAATCAGACCACATATTTTTCAACATTACACTGACAGCATGCAAACAAGGTTTACTGGTGTCACAGTGCAAAACATCAGAGGCCGGCTTTTTCTGAGAAGAGCAGGACTAAAGTTAGAAGCAGTATTAATTATCTCTCTCAGGTGACTGTGTGTGTCGCTTACCACAGCGACAGCGTCACTGGCCAGAAGAGACGGCATGTCCAAAACAACATAGTATGCTACATTAGTCAGCAGGTAGATTATGGTCACTAAGGGCATGGAAACTGCAATGGCCAGAGGAAGATTCCTAAAAACACAACAACAACACCGAGCGGTTACTGATTCAGTGAAAATCTAGAGTAAACAGATTACAGAAGATTCATGAAAGGAAAAAAATATGTATATTTAAAAGACATTTCAACTCCAAACTTAAGAGTCTGTTTCACTTCAGTATCATTCATACTTATGTAATTGTACTTTGTAATGTAATTTCGTCTGTGTGTGTGTGTGTGTGTGTGTGTGTGTGTGTGTGTGTGTGTGTGTGTGTGTGTGTGTGTGTGTGTGTGAGTGTGTGTTTGTGTGTGTGCGCACATATGTTACCTCTCTGGGTTCTGAATCTCCTCAGTCACAAAGTTGAGAGTATCCCAGCCAGAGTAGGAAAACAGAGCTGAGTAAAGTGCCAGAGCGATCGCTCCTGGATCTGTAGAGGAGCCTTCAAAAGGACTCTCAAAGCTCTTTGATTCTCCTGCACATAGAAAGTAAAAACATTAAAGTGGTGATTGGTGCATATGTGCATATGTATGTTTCCTTTGAAGCATTTATACTTTTATCTCATTTTACCTCTCAGCGCTTTTAGGATTCCTACAATGATGACAAGGACGAGGGCCATGAGTTTGACGTAAGTGAAAATGTCTGTGACCATAGTCCCCCACTTCACATAGGCACAGTTGATAAAGATGAGCATACCTGGACAAACCAGAGGAATCATGAAAAAACACTGATCGCAATGACTGGGAGTTTAAACAAACAAAGCATTGCACAGCTTCTTCTTTCAGGGATAAAGTTCACATGTGTTGTGTAGTTTTGTGAGGCTTACTTTAAATTAAGAAGCTGTATAACAAAGCCTGTAATCCCAGCCATGTACAGAAGACCACTAACCATCTCCTCTATGTCTCGTATGTCTCATACAGTATGAGGGTACAAAAACAGATGCTGAGCATTTCGTGACTTACTGTATCTCTGATCTCTAACCTAAATACCACGTCTGCTAACGACATTCTTCACAGCACAAAGCCATGCTGTAAGACCATGATGGTATTTTTAAAGGACTGCCATTCTAACTATAGCCGATGCCAGTCTCACACACACAGGGTTACTGGGTTTGAAACTTGGATAAATGGATAGCCTACTGGTACCATAATATCTCTCCACCACTTCATTTTGGACCTGTTATTCCAGGTAGATAAGACTTAAGGATTTCTTGAAGAGTTTTATACCCCCAGAGGATAAAGAATATCTACACTGACAAAAGGCTTTCTTGTGGCTGCTTCACAATAAAGGCCAACCCATGTAGTGCTAATTTAACATTCTTACAGAGAACTAGCAGCAGCAGGAAATCTTGGATTTGCATCAGCAGTACCTTAAGGAGACATATTATACCCCTTTTCTACATTTTAAAACAGTCTCATGTGGTCTAAATGAAACATATGTGCTGTGCTTTTGTTAAAATAAAACATGAATCAAGCACCAGAGGAGGTTTGTGACCCTTTATAAACCAGCTCGCTCAGAACGCTCCGCTTTGGTGTGTGTGTCTCTTTAAATGTAATGAGAACCCCCTGAGTTTTCCCGGTAGACGTCACTCCTTTGCTAGAGACAATAAAAATGTCAGACCTGCGGAAAAACGTTTCGCTCTAGGCTGGGGGTGGAGTCCATGGGTGGAGATATCAGGGAAAGGGAGGGGATTTTTTTTTTTACCAGAATCCAACTTGTGACATCACGTTGTCATCAAGTTGAGCAGATTTTTAACGGAGCATTTTTCTCTGTGTTATAAGACTTATGCAGACCACAAACAAAGGACTGGCTGGATTTATTTAAAAGGGGATTTTTCATAATATGTTCCCTTTAATACAGCCTTATAGGAGAGTGAGGCTGATATGAACTCAGGTGGCAGACTGACATCTGTATTGTCATTCGCCTGAGCAGTGATGCGTCAAAAGTCACAGTTCTAGTTTTACTTGATCTCAGAGCTGCTTTTGAAACAGTTGATCTTAACGTACAGCTTCACAGACTGGAAGGATGGGTGGGACTTTCTTGTACTGTACTGAATTGGTTCAAAAACTTACTTGTCAGAGTACGACAGAGACTATTTTGTGTTCTTTGATAATCATGAATCTGAGTGTAGGAATATAATATGTGGCGTTCCCAAAGGATCAATTCTTGGGCCTAATCTTTTTAACATCTACATGCTGCCGCTTGCTTGGTTTCTGGAATATCATAATATCTCTTACCATGCTTACGCAAACGACACACAACTGTATATCTCAGTGTCATCATATGACTACAGTGCCCTACACTCCCCAGGTGTATTGAAGGAATCAATGAGTGGATGTGCTCATGTGCGAAAAAAACTGAAATACCTGCCTTCGGCCCTAAAAAGGAAGGTTAATGGTCAGTGCTTGCCTTGACTCCATGTCACTGAAATCTACAAATCAAGCCAGAAATCTTGTTGTAATTATGGAATCAGATCTTAATTTTAACAGCCACATAAAGACATTAAAATCAGCATATTACCATCTTAAAAATATAGCTTATTTAAATGAATTATTTCTAGGCATTTGAATTGGCAATTAGTCAGAGTTTTATACATTAGTCCTGTGAGTGTTTTGTTTCAGGCTTTCTAAAGAGAGTAGTCAAGTGAAAGCAGCAGCAAAGAGAGTTTTCCTGTCTGTATTTTTCCGTAAACACTTGGAATATCACAAAAATGTATGTTACATAATAGATCAAGAGTGAACTTATATGCTGAACTTTATATCTCACACACTCATTCAGACACACAAACTGTTTCTTACAGAGGCAGGCTGCAGCAATAAGTCGTACAGAGTCATAGGGCGGCTGGCAGGTGGGGTAGAAAGCATCCACCATGTAGTTAGCAAATGTCAGAGAAATCACTGCTTGGCTGGCCGGTTCAATCAGTAGGATGGACGTCCACAGACGGATGAAAGCTAAGAAGCCTCCAAAAGACTCCAGGATGTAGGCATAGCTGGCTCCTGACTTGGTGATGGTGGTACCAAGCTCTGCGTAGCACAAAGCCCCAAACACAGAGAAGATGCCCCCAAAAGCCCAAATCAGCAACGACAGCCCGTAAGAGCCGCTGTACATGAGGACACCCTTAGGTGAGACAAAGATCCCAGAGCCGATCATGTTTCCAACAATAAGGCAGATTCCATTTGTCAGGGTGATTTCTCTTTTCATCTGTATTTTCTCTTCTTTCTTTGGTGCTTTTAAGTCCTCATCAGACGCAGCCCGGGTACTCGGGCATATCGTCTGAGACACAACCCCCATCTTCTGCCTCAGATCCCCCATTGAGCCAGTGCTGTTGTGGAGATGATACAACAATTATTAGAGTATATACTGATATAACATTTGAAAGATAAGATTATTCCATATATATATTTTTTTTTTTCTTACTTTATTTGAACTTCTAACTCCAGATCTCAAGGCTGAGCTACAAAAACCATAGTGCAGCAATAATGTGTGAGCATGTGGCCGAACACATACTTAATGCAACAGTTACATTTTCCCCCCCAAGTCCTCTCGGGATGCATCAAGACAGGAACAGAAAATTTAAGTACAGTTTTTATGACATAAAAGACAAAAGTGTACTTACTTTATATGCTTACTAAGAAAAAGTCAACAGTTGAATTTGATCATCTGAACATGGAGAGTAGTCCTCAGGTCACTGTGCTCTGAACCAGGTACTGAGACATTTGCTGACATCACCTCTGAGAGGCAGCAACAGGGCGGTCAATGTTGCAATCCCTGCAGCCCAGCATGACCACAACGAGTATTTTTCCAGCACCAGGCGAACCACACTCTCGTGTTCCCCCCTTGTGCTATTTTCAGAGACGAGAAGACCTCGTCCCTGCCCCCAGGGAGCACTTAGCAGTGAAGATAGAGGGGCTCAGACTGCTTCTGGGTCAACTGACAGGATTCAGTCAGTAAATTGTATAATATTCAACATCTTTATATGTTTTTAACAGTACATGACACACTCATCATTTAATACATATTTGGCCCAACAGATGCCTTAAAATCTGTAATTCAGTGTAATTCAGAAAGGTTGACACATTACACACATGGTTAGTTTTGAGACAGTGGCTCTCAGGCACTGACCAGTAAAGCACAATCCAACCCTTCTACACGCAGACTGCATCAATTTGAAGTTATTTAGCATCTATTTTGTTTAATTTGTGTTTGCCAGTTATTTTTTGTCTCTGTGAGTTTTTTGGTGTGCCGATTTCAGTATTTTTTTTTGTCACTGGGTATTTTTCACATTTTTGTGTCACCTTGTATTTACAGATTACTTTTATCTTTGTATTTTTTTGTATCCTAGCAATTGTCTTGTCTCTCTTTTTCCTGTCTTTGCATCTTTGTGATTGTTTTGTGTCATTTTGGGCCTTTTTTCCTGGCCTCTAAAGTTTTTTCTGTCTCTTTTGTGTATCTTTATTGTCATTTTGAGTCTTAAATTGAACCACAATTCTACAATTCATTTATTAGATGCTTTTGTCCAAAGGGATGTACATCATTGAGTACAACACAAGCAAGGATCTAGAGAGGAGGAAACAACACCAGTAAGTGCAAACAAAGAGCTTTAAGTCCAAACAGACACACAGGTTCTGACAGGCATTGCACAGAGGCAAAAAATAAATAAAAAATCAAAGTTAATTTATCATCATCAACAACACATCGACCACTGCTCTTGAAAGTTCAAATCAGCATAAAAAACATCCTAAATATATTATCGTCATTATCTAACAAAACCATCTTTAGCATAATTTGTGACTTTTCATAATTGTCTTTTGGCTTTTTTAGTATAAGTGTCTGTTTTTTGGCATGTCTCTATTTGTCTCTGTGATGTGACTTTGCAGCTCTGTGGTTGTTATGTGTATCAGGTGTTTATGTCTCTTTTTGTAGTTACTTGGGTGTTGTAGTGGGGTGGGTGAAGTGAGACTGACAACCCAGGGCCCAAATGAACAAATGAAGGGAGGAGCCCTGGGAATATTTTTGAAGGTGCTTAAAACATTGAAATGTCCTTAATGATCACATATATACTCTTTTTCAAACAGTTGAAATAAGTCTCAGAGGTTCCCAAAGCATGCCTGTGAAGTTTCTTGCCAAGACTCCAGGCTGGTTCTGTATTTTATCACGCCTCTAAACCTCTCTTACAGCCCTGCACAGAACAGGCTGTTTTTGTGTCTGTAGCTTTAAATGTAAATGAGCTGTTCTACTCTAAGCTTGGGTGTTATGAGAAGAAAAGTAAACAAGGAACTGAAGGCACTAATTCCAATGTTCAAGGTCAAGACAAATGTGGCTTTATTAAGTTATTATCACCACTACTAATAATAATTACTATTACAATAATATTAACCATAATACTCATAATAATCATATTATCGTAATGTTCTGTGTTTATAAACATAAAACACGACAGTATCAAACTTTGTTCCCCACTTTACAGGTTGTTAAACAAAGTTTGCTTTTTAAAACCTTTTTGAGGTTACTAGCATAAGGAGATGTTGTCTTAAATTGGATTGGCGGTGGTGTTGGTGGGCCACACAGTGGTATCTTCTCATGGGGCTCAGAATGCCTGGTGATGAACTGGACTTTGTATCTCATTGTTGATTATGTTGTGTACCTGAGGCTGTTGTGAGCCCCTGTGTTTTCTGTATCTTTCGTGTCTCTTTGTAGTTGTTTGAAGTTTCTTTGTATTAGTTCCTTTTCTCTTTTCTCTTCACAACCTCTCGTCTTTGTTTGTGACATTGAACATAATAAGTGTGTTTTGACTCTTCTGAAGTTGTTGATCTTTCTCTTGGTCTGCATGTCTTTGTGTTACTTTTGTCTCTTAGTTGTCATTTTGGGATCCTGCATGTTTTTGTTATGTTATAGGTCTTTTTGTTGTTGTTGTTGTTTTAGATGTCTTTATGGACATTCAGTGTCTGTATGCGTATTTGCAGTTAGTTATTGTTTTTCCAGATTATTTCTTTTCTCATTTGTGTGTTCTGTATTTCCTTGATGTGGTTTTGTGTGTTGTTATAGTCATTTTGAGTATCTGTTTTGTATGTTTTTTAAAGGATTTTTTTGTTGCTTTTGCTGTTCTTTTATATCTTTGTTATTAGGGATCTGTGTTGTTACTCTGCCTCTCTTTAAATGTTCAATGTATGTTTGTTTATGTCTTTGTGTTTGTTTGTCCTTGATTTGGTTACTATGAATCTCTTGGTAATCATTTACTCTTTGTTGCCATTTTTGTAGTTTTCTGTTTTCATTCTTTGCGGATTCTTTTGTTGTCTTTTGTGATTCTTTGTCTCCTTTGATCTTTCTGTTCTCTTCAGTTTGGCTTAAAGTTTCATGATTTGATTCATGCTGCATCGAGTGAAACCAGGAAGAAGAGGAGCGCAATCAGAAGTACAAAGGTCACTTTTTTTAATTAGTTCAGATACAACTAATGAAAAATTATAAAACACTTAAAGTGAACTTAGAGTATCACGTTATATGGCTGTTTGGTCAACACACTGATAATAACAGGGGCACTAAAACCAGGCCAATACTTTGCACAAGGCAGGTCAATGAATATCACTTAAACAATCAAGAGCTCACAAATGTAAGTGTGCATATAAAAAGGTGAAACTACACAGAAATATACTATAAAAATGTGTAACACCATATTTATGTTACCAAATGTGTAGCATTGTACTCAACTGAGTTTGATATGAGTGTAAAAAAGCTTTGACACGTCACTGTTGAGACTTAAAGCTCAATATGAGGCACAGTTCCCAAAAACAAGGCATTACAAGATGATGGAAGCACAGACCTTGTTTGGCGCTTCTCTTGTTACTTAAATGACTTTTCTTTTTTTCAAAAAGAACTATTTCATATAACAATGTGTCTTACTAAGAATGAAGCAGTGTTTTTAGTACAGCCTCACTGAGCTACTCTGACTAATGGTGGGGGAAACTGTCGATCCACATGATGAAAGATGAAGTACATCCATGTAGAGAATTGAATTAAAACATAGTTAACAGTGTGATGAATTTAAAGCGGTTACAGACAGTGAATGCTGGGGCTGCATCATCTTTTAAAGAACCTCTGTGAATGCAGTGATGCTCTAACTTAGAAACTACACACAGACATGTACATATACAAAAACGATCAGATGATGAATCAATTTGAAATTAACTTCAATTAAAAAGTTCAGAGTCAAGCTTCTTAAACAGTTAATTGAATTTCTTTGGATGGTAGAAACCTGCTTGGACACTCTTGACACATTTTCAGATGTCAGCACGGGCTCTTAGAAACAGTGAACTGACATTTTAAAGCTTTTTCTGATATGTAAAGGCCGAACTATTAATTTGGAGGACAACTGTTAAATTAGTTGACATTAAGATGATGAAAAAGACAGCATGTTAGTGTGAGGAAAACAGACATGTTTGTTTCTTTACTAGGACAAAGAACCTGTATGTATAAATATACAGAACAGTTATCATCCTTATGTATACAGATGAACCACTGCTATTGTCTTTATGTATATTTATGTGTTTCCTTCCTTTACTGAACCCTGTCTATGTGAAGCAGATGCATATTTATATTAGTGACAGTTGTGTCTGTCATTTTGAGCGGTTTAGGAAGCATTACGGAAGAAAAGATGAATTATTAATAGCTGTTCTGTGTAAAGCAGGTAAACTCAGCTGGTACTACAAGCAGAGCACCAGCCATGCGCTCACTAGGAACAAAATGTGAAACTTATTATTCAATCTTGTTCAGAGTCTGAGGATAAACTATTCTAAACTTTGGAAGTATCCAGATGGGTCTGAAGTTTCTAATGCGAACATAATACATGATTACTGACAGGTGAGGTCTCTGCTGAGAGGACTAAAAGAAATCGGATCACTTTGGTCCACTTTTAATTCAGACACTGACATGCAGAGAGACGCACATCCCTCTAATTCTGGGTGTTGTATTACAAACTCCACTTCCTCTTTACTCTGTGTCCCAGTGACTCTGTAGGGCTCAGCAGTAAAAAAAGAAGAAGAAGAGCACAGTTAGGGACACAATCGATCCATTCAGCCACAGTTTAACTGGTCTCGGAGTTCGATGGCTATCATTAGAACACTGACTCTGCAGTCTCTCACTGATATCGATCATGCACCCCAACACACAGATACTCTCCGCTGTGGTGAGCACATCCTCTCTCAGGTAACACATCAGGATATTCAACCCATGACTACATGATAGTGAGCGACTGCTAGAAAAGGAGTGTAGACTTTACAGCATGATAACAGTCCCTTTGGCATTACTCAGACCAAGCGAGCGTATCAGGGATGTTCCTCTTCTATAAATACACACACACACGTTCACACACGTACACACTTACACAACACAAAAAAGAGCTGGGCCACATACTTAGGCTCTCATATAATGGAAACTGAGCTTTTGAGACAAATGCATACATAAAACAAAATCACATTAAATTGTTAAATAAAATCACTGATTCAGTCAAAATCTTTCATTCTGTTCACACAGAATTCAACTTTTCATCTCTTGTTGATGAGCCGAGATCAAATCTCATATCTCACAGCGTCTTTTTTGTAGCTGTGAGAGTCTTTTCTCAACCAGCTCATCCTTTGTTTGTTTTCATGGAGAAAACAAAAAAAAAAACACGTTGACCATCTTGATGACAATTGAGAGCTTAGTGTAGTGTCAAGTCGGCACAATCTTGTATCACTGTTTGTCTGTGACTGCTGCTACATGTTCCTGGGTATATTAAAGGACATGTTGAGTGGAGGTGCCGTCGGGAAGACAGGGGGAGGCGAGCTGATTTCCGGCGGGTACGGCTGTAAGCCCCTCTGTTTGTTGTCGTGCAACTTTCGTACAACAATGAGGCAGAAGTCGTCGTCGTGTTTGAGACAGTTGTCCAGGAGCTGGCGGACTTTAGCCGTGCGTGTGGGCTGGTTCTTCACAAGTTCATAATCCTCTTGCATTAACAAGGAGCGAGCCAGCAGGGCGTCCAGGCTCTGGTTGAGACAGGCCTCTGTCATCTGAGTGACGATCTCCTCACGCCGCGTCGAGATCCACTGAGCAAACGGGCCTTGAAAGGGAGGAGAGTATCGCGGGGGAGGAGAGTAATCTGCTGCAATAGAGGAGAGAGAGGGGAGATACATATGGTTAAAAATGTTAAGTTCAGTTTAACAATTGTTAACCTGCATTAGGATAAACAACTTTAATTAGTTTCCTAAAAATACATGTGTAATTGTAGCATTGGTCCACCATTAGTCAATATTACACTCTTAATTATGCCCAATTCTGCACAAGTGTAGTCATGCAATGTTTTATATTCTTTACTCCTTAAATAAGAAGTGTTTCATGTATAATGTTCTGAATCTTGTTGGCTTTCTATGACAATCAAGAGGTAGTAGTTCCACAATACTGAGCCCAGCATATTCAGATTATAAGTAACAGACTTAGAACAGAACAACTTTATTTTTTTACAACCAATAAGGATGAAAGAGGATTATATTGATGGGACTCTCTCAGTAAATTACCCAGTAATTGTAGAAAATTATCATGCAGGATGAGGCATTACTAATGGATTTAGAATGACTTATACACTTTATTAATGAGCATGTTAATCTCATGTAGTAAAATGTGAATATGTGCACCTTAATATGAAGTGTTACCAATCAATCAAAACATTTTATTTAATTCACTTTCCAGAACTCAATTATCCTCATCGTTGTTATCATCTCATATTTCATCCATTGTGCTTTAACTGCTTGTACCTTGTTGCTGAGACTTGAGGGTGAGGTTATCCATATGTGTCTCATATTCAGGGACAGGCAGCTCTGCTTTGATGGGGATGTTCAGATCATTTGCGCAATCGTCCTTCAGAGACTCAGGAGGGTCCAGATTGTGAGCTAGGAACGACGATGGAGAACTTCCATCTACAATAGTATGAGAAGTATGGTGTTCATATCTTAAAATCTGATCAACGTGATGAAGCAGCATAGCCAGACTCTGAATGATAGGGAAACATGGCACAGCATGATTACCTTTAGAGGGAGGAGCATTGCTGCTGGTGAGGGCTCCTGGGATAGAAATGTCTGTGTCCTGAGAGGAACACGAGCCTGAGCCGGAGGTGGAGCTCCCCTTTAGTAGAACAGACAGTAACGTTTTACTGATAAATCCTCAAACATATTAAAGTCATAATACAACAACCAATGGAGGCGCAAGTTCACCATCACTGAATCTGTTTACTTGATTAATATTCGGAGACTTTTTTTTTTTTGACTACTGACCGGCCAGGGGCTGTGTCTGTCCTTCAGCATGTTCAGAGACCCCTCCTCACTCCTCTTCTCACACTCTGACTGTGCTAAACAACAGCGCGATTGGCCCATCAACTGTGGAGGAACAAGGACGGAGAGAAACATGAGACTTACTGCCAAGGAAGTTTAGGAGGAAACTATAAAGCTGTAATAATGTGTTGAATCAAATACGCTTCGATGAATTAACCTGCTCTCGGTGCAATTACAAGAACACACTGCCCACAGAGGAACATTGTTAAAACATGAACATAAAGAGGGAGCAATAGTGGAGCAGAAGTGTGTTTTTATTAAGCTGATCACACAGTTTCATATTCACTTCACTTGCTCTTAAGGTCAGTGTCGACAGTTGTTTCACCCAACACACTCTCGCTCAAACACACACACACACACACACACACACACACACAAAATGACGCTCAACCTTAAAAGAGGAAGGATATGCGACGGGGAAATTATGAAGCAAAAACTGTCCTGAATTACACACACAGCCTGAGTATTTATTCTGAGCAGGGGGTTTCCTTTAGGAGGACACTCACTAACCATTATTACCTAAAACCACTGAGAGTAAAGGTCGGAATATGACTTAAACATTATTACGTTTTGAGTAATAACATTTCAGAGAAGGCCAACAGTGTGGTTTTTGTTTCAGTTTACAGCTTTGAGCCTCTCGGTGCAGTTAGACCCACATCTGGTCCCAAACGGCTGTGTGTTTAGTAAAAGGAAACGAAAGAAACAAAGACTTTCTGATACATACGTTACAGCTTTGGTTAAATTGTGTTTTATTGTATAATTCCTCTATGTTTTCTAATTTGTGCGGTCAAATTGAGAAAGAACTATACAGTATTTACATGTGTTATGATAAATATATATACCGTTCTTTTAATTAGTCTAAAAATGTAAGTGACTTTTCTAATGCTATTCCTTTTTAAGCTTACAATCTCTTGAAAATAAAACCCATTCTTCTAACCACTGCAACACGTCATTTCTGCCGCTTCTTGTTTTATTCAACATGATATCCGCATTCTTCAATTCAGCTGCTCAGAAATGTGACACCTGGCCAAGACCAACATTCTTTAATTCTACAGAGGCAGAACACAACATCGACACATAATGCCCAGTTACAGTCTCTCTGTGTACCTTTCTTGTATGTTCTTCCTCAACTCTTTCTCCCTTTATTTGTTGTCAGATCTCTACCATCTACTCACTTTTCATACAAGTGTAAATGACTAAAAGAAACCTTTAAGAACATGAAGCATGAAGACTCCTGACTGACCTTTGTCCTCTTTATCGCCAGCACAGCCTCCAGAAAGTCAATTTCATCAAACTTCCTCACCATGGGCTCCAGTTCAATCAGACACTCTGAAACAAAATGTCAGAGAAAAGAAAACACCTTACAATCGATGAAACAGTTAACCTGGTATTTTGTTTTAATCTTGTCAGAGAAGGGAAGTTTTTATGAACCACAGCGCTCTCAGCAAGAGGTGTGATCAGAAACTCCCTAAAGTTCAACCTGTGTTTTATCTCACTGATCTATTTCATTGGAATCTCATTAAACTCTTCTGTTCAAATCACGTATTTTGTGCTTCAGCAGAGTGTGTTTACAACAGGACCGTATGAATGACAAACATTTTCACAAACTATGTGGACCTTATGCTGTGTACTGTAACTGTTGCAGTTTGTGTGGGTGCGTCAGTGAGAGAAGAGTGAGATGAAACCCTCCATGTTAAAGGAATAACATGAACATATTCTTTGAATCCTTTCAAACTAACATTAAATATTCTCCCTGTTTGAATCATAAAAAAATATCTTGATTATTTAAGTCACAAAGAGTCCTTAAATCATAATGAATGTGTTGATAATCTAACATGTGATTGATCCAATTATAATCACACCATTGTGAGGCCTTTTTTAATCGAAGCTCAAAGGATATTAGTTTTAACATATCGCTGAACAAGCAGTAAATGAGTAAAGGGCATACTTGCTCTAAGGGTCATCTTGGGTTCCATCTTGTTTACAAAAAAGAAAAATGAGTTTCAATGAAGAAAGCAGAGAAAATGTCTGAGTCACTGCTCTGTCAGCAGAAAATGTAACTCTGAGCAGTTATTAAGTTAAGTTACAGCAACTATTGAGAGTATTTCTTTTCGAGGGCTGTGGTTGTAATCTTTTGTCAGTCATGAGTCCCTACAGATCAGTCTGAGCTTACTTAGGAAGGAAGGTCGCTCGTCTGGGTTAGAGGTCCAGCCGCAGGTCATTAAACTGATGAGGGTTTCTCTGCTGGGGATGTCAGCAGGTAGACTGTCTAGACTGATGTCAGGACGCATCCCACGCAGCACACTGAACATGATCTGCATGGGGTTGGTCACATCTGACGACACACACACACACACACACACACACACAGACCTGGGATTAGGCTGGTAGCACCATCAAAGATTACACAAAGTCTGAACAGAATGAGAAAGTGACATTTGTAAATCGCGGCACACCACAAAGTGTTTTACCTTCAAAAGGAATGTGTCTGGACAGGACCTCCCACATAATGATGGCATAGCTGCAGAGTAGACATTAAAGAAAGAAACAGTGAAGAAAACTAGAGTTGCATCATTATTTCCCAACGGTACTTTCCCTCAAGAGCTGAGGGACTTTACGAAGAGCTGACTTTGCTGCAATCCAAACCTGTTGGACAAAATCCAGGCTCGTGATAGCCCGTTGTGACGCCTAACAAGACAGAGTTAGGACTTCCCTAAAATCTGCTTTACGCTCTGATATGTTCTTAAAATCCAGGTTTTGGCTGAGAAATATTTACTCTATCAGAGCAGAACAATAAAGTCATCAGAAGTTTATCCATTCAAAAATTCTGCCCTATCGTTTGAACATCTGCCAACCAAACATGAAACAAATAAAAAAACCTTAAAGGACGTTCATGTTGTGGATACATAACCGCAGTAATGACAACATATATTCTGTCCAACCTATTAGTAATCAGTCATTACAGTCACCTCACCTGTACACGTCGTGCTTCACATCGGCCCGACGACTCTTGGAGGGTTCGTACTTCTCTGGAGGCATGTAGATCACTGTGCCCCCCATCTCTGTGGGCTTGGACCCGGAGCCCTTACTGACGGACAGCTGCCGCCACTTTGAGAGGCCAAAGTCTGCAATCTGGACACAACCACAGCAGATCGTTGGCATTTTTATCTGATTTATATCCGTGTGTGTGTGTGTCCATCCTTCTTCCTGCATCTTATCTCCACCTTTCCCATTTTTCTTTTGTAAAATAACAAAGAGTACCTCTTAAACTGCTTTTTGTAAAGTGTCTTAAGATAACTTTTGTTATGTATTCGTGCAATACAAAAAAAAGTTGATTGATTATTTCTTTCTTTTACCGTATTTTCATTGATCTGCTTTTTGTTTTATTAATGAAAGACACCTGAGCTGTGTTGTGGGAGAATTGCCTTATTTGTTTTTTTTTTTCAATGCAGCTGCTATGAATAACAATCCTTTTTCAGAATAACATTTTTTTCTACAGGAATTATTTCTCTGCTATCAGCAAGTAATTATGGAATTATTTCCAGATTTAATAATCAAGCCTTCAGTTACTTTCATAAAAGATGAATCACTGAAGAGACAACGGCCACAGATTGCTCATTTAAAGAGACTAACCGTCCAAATCTCTGTGACACTCAGTTTAACATCAGATATGAGAATGTGAGGCAGCAAATCCTTTATATAAAAAAACGTTTAAGCAGGTCATTTAAGGATATTTTACGATGATGATAATCAAAATAGCTCTTGACTTATGTAAGAGTAACATAGTCACTGTGTCAGCTCTAATAATAATAATTAAGTAGGTCTGTTGCTTAACACACACAAACAAAGCCATAAAGATAGCGTACAGACGGTATCTGTGTAGAGCGACTCTCAGGGAAGTTCCCACATTCTCGCTGGCACACAAACCTTGACGTGAAATTCACTGTCCAACAGGATGTTCTGCGTCTTCAGATCATGATGTAAGAGAGGTGGGTTCATGTTGTGGAGGAAATTAACCCCAAGGGCGATCTCGTACAGAATCCTCAGACGTAAAGGCCAGGCCAGCGCAGGGTACATGTCCTTCTGTGGGCACAGACAGCAGACCAGCAGGGAATAAAATGATCAATAAAAGTACCAATAAAGAACGTGCTTATACACGTGTAGAAAGAGAGGGGGAGGGGGAGTTAAACTGCATTTAAACTACAATCCAAAGCACTCAAGAGTGACGTAAGAGAAAAATTACACAACCAAGACAAGTGGGAATTTCCCAAAACTAAATGAGACTGCTTTCCTCAGGGCTCAGCTTCGTTTTTTCCCCCGACTTGTTTCAAAGTTTCATCAGAGACTTGGAAAACGTGGAAGTTTCACTTTAGCTTGCCGCAAAACAGGCAGTAATGTTGTGGGGTGACATTTAGGGGAAGAGACACAGGTGGATGTGGAGAAGCTCGCCAATGTAAACAAAAAAGCTCTTTCACTTCAGTCTTTTTGGCAACACAATCCACAAAACAAGAACTAAACAACACTGACTATGTTCTCTGGACATGTGACCGTGTTGTAAAATAAAAAAGAGATATTAGTTCACGTGTTTCTAAACTGCAATTCCAACCAAGATTTGTTTTGTTTCTGTTGAGATACATACTACTGTTCCTTCTCTGGGTGGAAGAAGAACACAATATAAATGTCTTTAAACCAAAGTAATCTGGTGTCTTCTTAATTTATGATCCATATTAATTCTCTTACAATGAGCACTGGCTTCAGTTGTGATGTTTTACAATGACAGGCTCCCTTTATAATGAAGTGACAAATACCTCATGAAGTAACAGGTCCAGAGAGCCATTGCTCATAAACTCTGTGACGATGCAGAAGAACTCGGGCTCATTGCAGATACCAAAGATCTGGATGATGTAGTTGAACCTGGCTTTGTGCAGCACCTCAGCCTCCTTCAGCAGGCAGTTCCTTTCCCTGAAACACAGCCAGGTCAGAGTCTTTGTTAACTCTCGGGCAGGGTGACAGAAATACCACAACTGTGACCACATTTGGACATCATAATGATAGAATGTGTGCCAGCATGAGACAGAAGGTTAAAGGTCAGCTGGAGATTCAGACGTGCGTGTGAATCCACCAAGTGTGAGAACTGCATCAAACTCTGATAAAACACTCTCAATGCGTTTCTTAAAAAAAGTAAAGGAAATTAACATTTTAGATTAGAGATGTTTGAGGAATGAGGTTATTTTAGTTCTCAGCAGAAATGAAAAGTTAATAAAAGCCTGGGCAATAAATCAAAGTGTTACTGTCATTTCTGATTTTGCTAGTTTTAGAAAAGGAATAGAACACATTTATGGACATTGAAAGAATGACATGTGCATATATGCTGCTCAGAATAATTACTTTAGAAAAAATGAAGTATTATAATTATTTATAGTGATTTTCTACCCTTAAGTTATGGAGTACAGAGACAAGGACTACAACTGTTTGCAGCTCATCTGGACTGTGGACATTTTTGAAGCTTCTGATGATGTCATCTAGAGACAGACCTGACAGCCGGTCTGAATCAAAGAAATAATATCATTTATAATAATATGCCATCAGCTGTATGCTTAATGCTTTTATGGCTGGACATATTTGTATTAATATATTTGTTTGTGAAAGTAAAAACAAAAAAGATAGTGAATACAAATATTGGTTTGAGATGATTGACAAACCAATACTCACCAGTCAATATTTCCACATTCTACTAACTAAAACAATATTTGGTTAATTTCTGTAACAACCACATTAAGGTGGTCCTTATCAAAACACATTTGTTTTGATATGTAATGCATTCATTTGAAAGCAAACTGAATATATATACACCTTATAGTTATTAGATTTAAACTTCAAAATATCATCAAACAGTAAAGGGATAATTTGTTGTTTAAAAGAGCCAAGAAAGACATGTCTGGTCTACCCTCATTACACAGAGGAGTCATTGTAATCTCACAATTAAAATGTACCCTTTTTTTTTTAAATCTAGGGATGTTTGATCCACCTGAACAGCTGAAGGGCAGAGAGAGACTTGCAGCTGTTTACAGAGTGATAAAACAACATAAACACATCAGATTTAAATGGCTGCACGCTTTTGATTGGATTACAGCTGACATGGATTTATATCTTGCTTGTGTGCTTTCCACCATAGACAGGTGTTAGTGTCTGTACAGCATTGACTGATTCCTTGGAGAAGCACAACAGCTGATCTATGTTTTAGTATCTATTTTTTTTTGTACATTCTTAATTTTTCTTTTTTTAATTTAAATTGTACTGTGTTCACTTTTTTGTCTGCAATCTTTGCTCTTTGCTGCTGTAACAATGTAAATTTCCCCATCGTGGGATAAATAAAGGATTATCTTATCTTAACACAGAGTGCTCGTAAAATCAAAAGTCTTGTCAACAACTGTACAGCCAAAAGAGCACATCAACACGGTGTACCTTTCTCCATGGGCGTCGAGTTTGAGGCACTTGATGGCCACAGTGGTCCTCCAGTCTGAGTGCTGAGCCTTGAACACGGTGCCGAAGCCCCCTCTGCTCAGGTAGTACAGGTCGGTCAGCTTCTGGTAGGGGATCACCGGTAAGGTGCTGGTCAGATTACCGATGTTCACACAGCCCATTGCCGCGGACGGCTCCATAGCAGTCAGTGAACCCTTTACGGGAAGTCTGTCGATTTATCAGCTACTAAAAGCAGAACTGCCCCTTCAGCTGACCGCAATGAGGAAGAGCTGGGTCCGTCAAACGCTTTCCATAATATCGCTGTCTGCTAGCGAGCTAAGCTAACGTTCATGTAGCGTGATAGTGTGAGCGGTGGTAACCAGACGAACAAAAAAAGTACTAGAATTAAGTGTTTGCGTCTTCATGCCTGTTTGTTCATGATATTCTGACAGGCTAAGTCAAATAGGTATAACAACAATGAGCCGCTGCTGCTGACCTGCACTGTCATTTAAAGGCAGGTGGGTTTGTTGTTGCTAATGACGACACGCTTCCGGGTTGTTCATGAGATGCGTTCATGTCCATAGGTTTCGAGTTGACTAAATAGTTGTTCCTTGTACTTAAAAAAAAAAAAATATGAGCTTCAATATTCAGTCTTGGTTAAAATACTAATAACACACTGGTTATTAAGAAAGGAGTGACATTTAAAAGACCTGTTTGAATACCAACGTTGTCTTTTTCCTCACATTTTTGTTTCAGTTTCATGGAGACGAAATCTTCCTCCGAACATGAACTCAACAGTTAATAAAAGTGATTTTTAACATGCTGGAATTCCCCAAACGCGTCAGTCCTCTACCCACATGTTGATATCATGTGTACAGAGCATAGACTGTAAATATTACAGAGTCTTAAAACTGTAACAGGTCGTAGAAGAACAATTCAATTTCACATAACATCTTGCAACTTTTAGCAATTTTTGAATCAATGGAAGTAATTTGAGATAGACAGGCAGACAGACAGACACACAGACACACAGACACACAGATAGATAGATAGATAGATAGATAGATAGATAAAAGCATGTCATGTATTCATCCTGCCTTGCTTTTAGAGTTTCGTGTTCTCATATGTGTTTGTGCTTTCTAAAAAACAGGAACTAATCCTTTCTTAGGGGACGTGACACACTCTGAAGCATGTGATATAGTAATCTGATTCTGCTGTGTCACTCAGGGTGTCAACAGTTCAGTCAATATGCTTTAAGCACTGCTTACATTGACCTCACAAAATGTGTCTATATGATGATCTGACTATGACCAAGACACTCCCAGCACAGTTTAGTCAAGACACAAACCTGCAGCACAAAATGTGGGATTATCTGCCCTGAGCTGGTGTGATTTGGCAACTAGACTCTTTTTTTCTGAGGTCATATGAATCAACTCTATACTCTAAATCCGCCCCCCACAGATGGCTGCCCCCTTTGTTCCAGTCCCTTTACATGTGGACTTGACTGGAGCTTGCAGGTCCTGGGCCAAGAAGGAGTCTGAGCCCCCACCTCCAGAAATAATTTCCTCTATGAGAGCAGTCAGACCCTGGGCTCAAACCTCAGCTTACTTCTGTAGGAGACCTCGAGGAGACATGCTGGATGGACCATCAACATTGCTGGGGGTTGAGGGAAGAGTTGGGGACAACTGGGTGGAAAGACCAATCACCCCAACACTACTGGGCTACGAGATCCTGGAGGAGAGGGCGAAATTCACAGTAAGATTTGTGAACTTTCCAAACCAAACATGACTAATATAAATCAAGTAATCAAAGAAAAAGATCACTGACATGTTTGTTGATGGGCTAAAACTTTCTATTTTTTTAAACTTTTTAAGTAAATACCTTTGAAATGTTGAAAATGGATTTATGAAGATTTTAACACATGGACTTTGTCTGGAAACACGTACGATGTCACATTGCCATCATATGACTCACTCTGTTGAAAAATCTTACACAACTTGCATGTATGTGTGTGTGTGTGTGTGTGTGTGTGTGTGTTTCTGTGTGTGTGTGTGTTTCTGTGTGTGTATCTCTGTGTGTGCACGTGTGCTGCCTGCTCATTACTGTCAAATAAGCAAAATCTTTTGCAGTCCCAATTGTGAGCATGTCACATAAAAATGCACTCAAGTTGCACTCATAATTTTCCATTTTCAGAGGATGTTATTTGTATATTGCTCAATGTACTCTTTGTGTGTCCATGTGTTTGTATGTACTTAAAAAACACTTTTAACTGTTAGGTTTATAAGATCTATGTGACGACTGCTGAAGGAGACAGCTGGGTGATCTTCAGAAGATACACTGACTTTTGCCGGCTTAATGACAAGGTGAGACTGTCAACCTCGTTCCCTATAGACATTATTGAATTTTAGTACTTATTATTGAACTTTACTTTACTAAGTTAGCGAGCCATGATTATTGACTTAAAATCAGTTAAAAGCTGCAAAGGTTGCACCAAAGAATCAAACCAAATTCTCATTTTTATTCAGAGCAGAGTGTCTAACTGTCCTTGTTTATAGACAGATCTGCATGTTATATATAGTCTGCTTCTTCCAAACAATTTATTAACTGCATACATTGGAACATGTGCACTTTTTTAAACATGATAAAAATGTCACTTTACAGTCATAGAGTGCCAAAAAAATGTATGGGCAATAACCCAATAATAACCCAACACCCTTTAAAACTTTAAACTATTGTTTTTGTTAGTTTGTGTCTTATAGAAACCATGCATTCTGTAAATACTACCTTACACCTCTTTTATAGGAACCCCATATGTACCCATATCTATTTCAGCCCCTTTGTTTTCTCCTTTGCACTAAAAAGTATATTCAAATCCTCTGTGAGAAATAGGACAAAGTTCTGTCCATTTTGGCGCCGCTTTTGGACAAAGTGGTACCCCTTATATCATTGCTAATTTTTTTTTTTTTAAACAAAAAATGTCAGCATTCTTGTATTCAACTGTCAAATGTATCACTAATCAAGAATCTTTGACTTGAATGTGCTGTTTTGGCAGAGTGTCGTCAATAACTGTCATTCAACTACCCTGCGGACGTGCCTTCAGGCCTTAATAATAATGATGGTCTTTTTTGCTTAAGTGGGTCATATAGAAGCAACAATAATACTTTCAGCCTGTTTCATCACCAGCTAAAAGTGCTTCATAGGAGCTTTTATTTATAAGCCTGTAAATAGCATTTTGTTTTAATGTTACCTCTGTCTATTCTAATGTCTGCGTGATTAATATAAAGACAGAGACAAATTCCAATTAAGTGTATACCTGGTGTTTCTGATTATTCTGCTTGGAAACCCCCCCAGTGTAAGAGTTTCTGAGCCATATTTGACAAGCGATCACATGATGTTGTTCCTAACTTATTTTATTTTCTGAGATTTTGGTAAATCTTTTATCTGAAGCTTAAAGAGCTGTACCCCAGCTCGGCTCTGGCCCTGCCTCCTAAGCGCTGGTTCAAAGACAACTACGATGAGGAGTTTCTGGAGGAGAGGCTGAGCGGCCTGCAAAGCTTTCTGCAGAGCTTAACAGCACACCAAGAAGTCATCAGGAGGTGCGTGTCAATATGGGGATATAAAGATGGACTCCGACAGATTTTACTGTCTATCTTGTTTGATTTTGAGTTTTTCGTTTGTTTGCTTCTCAGCGAAGAAGTCAGACGCTTCCTGTGTTTGGTTGATCCGCCAGGTCCTTTCGATAGTCTGGTGGAGAGTCGGGTGAGGTCCATGTCTGTGCAAGAAATGTTGACTCAAGGGCTTAAAGTCAAGATTATTTTCTGGTTTCTTACTAACTTTAGGCTATTTTTGACTTTAGGCTTTTTGTGAGACTCTGGAGGAGACAAACCATCGTCTGCAGAGGGAACTCTTGGACAATCAGAGAGAAGTTGACGCTTTGAAGAAGATCCTGGAGGAGAAGGAAACCCATATCAGCCTCCTGGTGAAGAAAGCCAAGTACGGATGTTTCGTTGTTTTTATACAGGAATAATAGAAAAAAGGTTCTTTACACTATATTAAAATGATTTCCTCTTAAACAGATCCCTGACACTTCCCTCTGAGAGCTTGGAGGATCGATTCCAGCAGACAGAAAAAATAACTACAGACACAAACACACTTGAAGAAGGAGACACAGATTTGAATGGATCTGAGAAAGTACACACAAATGGAAGTGAAGCTGCAGATGACAACAGAGGAATGTCTATAAATGAAGATGACAAAGAATCAAACCATGAAACAAACTCCTATATTTACCCTTTATGTTACTGGTACTAATTTCCCAATTTTAATCTAATTGCTGATGATCGTTTTATTAACACTAACAGACACTTTGATAAATGTTGTGAAACAAGTTTTACTGTGAACAACTGTCATTCTCCGGCTGTAACTTTAAAATAAAAAAGACACCATTTCAGAGTTTGGGCGGAATACTAACCATCTTAAAAAAACAAGCACAGCATAATTACAATTATGAAATAGGTTTTAGAAATTTGGACCTCTGACTAGAGTAACTCTTTGTAGATTGAGCATGTCTGTATCTTCTTTTTATTTCATTTTCACTGTGTTTGTGTGTTTATATACTCTTCCACATGTGATGCTCATTTACTAAAGGTTTCTGTTACATTACACTCAGAGGTGTAGGCCAACCATACATACCTCAATAAATACTGCTTTGTATTCAAGAACCTTGTTTTTACAGTTATTCTTCATTGTACATATTTTGAGATCTTTTAAATTTATTCTCACCACTGGAGAAATGTTAACAACTCAAACCTTCAACAAAACACTTCAAGAACCCTGCAAAAGCTCACTCCTTATAACTCACGCCAAACCTTTAGTTCAATTGTCAAAACTAAGTGTAGTGTGTCAATAACCATGTTGTCTGCCTAAAACAAGAACTGTGTATCCCATCAATACAATGAAGAATCTATAAAGAAGAGAAAATATAGTCCCATATGTATGAGGGTAGAACAAAAACTAAAAAGGCTGAAAGTGTTGGTAATCACTCGACATCCAGTGTCTCCTGTCCATGTTCATGTGACAAATATATTACATTTGATTTGATTGCGGACAACAGAACAAATACATTCTTAATGTAAACCAGTGTGTTTGGTCATTTGCCTGAATGAATTAAAACATTTTCAGATGGTTTGAAATGATGACTAATTCTCTGAAAATGAATTTCACATATTACTTTTACACATTGTGATGATGTTTGATTTTTCATACTTTTGGTGCCTCAAGCAACTTTGACCAGAGGGTGGCAGTGTTGTGACAGTTTTAGACTGTTAAGCAGCTTCACCTGAGTCAGAGACACATCAGAGGGAACTTGATGTTCTGTTCTCTACATCTCAAAACCTTGAACTCAGAGCTCCCAGACATTTCCCCTGGAGATGAATGACACTTTCACAATTTGTGAATTTATGAATGAACACATGTGCTGTATGTATTTGCTTTTGTGTGTGTTCCTCTGTTTGCAGTGTTTTCTTATATGTGTACTGAGAGCAGGTTTTTGGCATATTTGTTGTAACACGTTATTACAATTTAATAGTTTCCTGGGTGTGTTTATTCCCTTCATTCATTTACCTAGATGAAAACTGAACAAATCAACGAGGTGGGAAAAGACTCAGACAGCACTTGCACCGCAGATATAATTGAAGTTGTATCTTTTTTCTTCTATTGTAATGCAGAATAAATGCACTGCACATGTAGAAAAATAAAGACAATGCATCTAAGGAGGCTATGAGGGCTCCCCTGACAAAAAATAAAATATGAGAGATTAATACAAATTAAAAAGGGAAGAATAAAAATACATAGGCTACAAATGCATGAAGGAAAGAGCATAGATGAATCCAAAGAGAAGTGTTTGGGGTTCAAATATCTGAACAGTAACTTTTATGAAGTGGACAAGGGCTGGAGTGAACAAATCTGATACATACTGTACATACACATAAACCATCAAAAAATCTTAAATCAATCAGGGGTTTGTTTTATTAAAAGTTGTCAAAATCGGTCTTAGCGGTCTCGAGAGTTCTGGAGAAGTTTTGGTAATAATTCTCATCGGACTGTCCTCCTGATTATGATTTACGCAGCATATTGAACAATCATGCATTCTCCTGTCCTTCACATGGTTGATCAACAGGAGAGGAGTCCGAGATCAAGCAGCCAACCCTGCAGTCATTGGCTGACTGAGTCTCAGCCAAAGCTGCAAATTAAAAGCATATGTTACAAAGTGTCAAATCACCTCCCCTCTTCAAGTGAAGATGAAGTTAAACATCCTAGCACCAGGGAAGAGAAGGGTTAGGTTCTAAAAAAGTGTGTTTAAAGCCCTGATATTAAGACACAAAAATGTGTTTTGTCCTGGGTGAACGATAGACTGTATTCATGGCTTCCATTTTCATCCAACCTTGTGCTCAAGCTAATGTGTTCCAGGATGTTGTTAGTCATGTAAACATACAGTATCTGACAAACTTATATAATTTAAACTGCTCAAAGCGCTTTTACACCACTTGTCACACCCACCCTTTCACACACTGATGGTAGTGATCGCTATGTAGCATCATCAGAAGTAACTAATCTAGATTAGTAATCTACTAATCTTAACCAATAGGGCGGCAGTAGCTCAGTCTGTAGGGACTTGGGTTGGGAATCAGAGGGTCGCCAGTTTAAGTCCAGGCATGGACCAAGTCCAGAAATTGGTCTGGTAGCTGGACAGGTGCCAGTCCACTTCCTGAGCACTGCCAAGCAGCACACCCATCCCCCCCCCCCACCACCACCACCACCACCACCACCACCAGCAGCCCAGGAGCATTGTATTGAGTATGTATTTCGGCCTCTGTTTGTGTAGCATGTTAACTTGACAGAGTGTAAAAACAAATTTCCCCTCGTGGGATCAATAAAGTATAAATTATTATTAATCCCATTCACACACCACCACTGAAGCAGCGGGAGCAATTCAGGGTTAAGTGTCTTGCCCAAGAACACATCGGACATGTTGCTCAGCTGGGGATCGAACCCTCGACCTTCCGGTTGAGAGGCGACCAACTGAGCCACAGCCGCCCTAATAATTTAAATTAAAACCCAATACTTGTTTCTATGGTCAAATACGGTCAGACAACAACTAACACAAGCATCCAACCACATCCTAAATGACATTACTATCAGGCTAATGAATCAGCTGAGACTATACCACTGTAAAGTGTGATCTGATACATATGAGCTTTGTTAGATGAGAAGTTTCTTACTTAAGTAATGTTAGCTACGGAGTGTTTACATGCTAATGTTAGCCATTGTCCAATCGTAAATAAAAGGCTATGAATTATGTGGTTTTAAATCTCAAATGTGGCCAGCTATCCCTCCAGATATTTATCATTGTCCACTGTGTTGCTCATGAATGTGGAAGCATTGCAATGATATTGATTGTCACCATGACTTCAATACATTTACACAATTTACAATAAATATATATTTTACCACTATATGAGCTTCCCTCCCTCAGTCAGGACATAGAAAAATGACCGCTGTGAAGACAGTGAATGCTTAAAAGCTTAATAAAACACAACTACATGTTTAAATCTATAGGAGCAGGGCCCTGTTGATTTTCAGCTGTTATGGGAAAGGTTTATTTTATTTAACATGTGGGTCACAGATTTTGTCTGAAAAGGGATCATAAACCTGATGTTGAAAGTAATAGGGGACAATGATTTGTGCAGCAAAAGGTGTAGTAAATGTAGTAAATTTACTCCCTCAAGGCCAGACCCTGAGAAACCTCAATACCTGCCAGTTGTTTGTTAGCATGCAACCACAAATGTCAATGTCAAATGATGAAATACCTATGTGGTTTTCAGTTTTCCCTCGTGTCCTGCAGCAATTTGGCACACTCCATGAGAAACCAAAACTCAGGACAAGAAAAAATAATAAATACAGAGCTCCACGTCAGCCAGGGTACGGCCCTTCAGGTATCGCCATTGATTATGCCCAAACATGTCAGAACATAAAGATTTATAAACAGCTCAGCAAAAACTTTGGAACAGTCTCCCCACAAATTACTCCACAGGGTGATATCGTTTGACATTGAGTGCAGATTTGCGGCTCATACCATCCAAAATAAAGACTCTTCATTCATCTCGAACAAATGTGGGAGATAAGGCTTAGGCCATTAGTTCTGTTGATGGGCCGCATGCTTCAGTGAGTGAAAGATTCATGTTGCTCCGGTGTAATTGTAGTGCAGCATGGATTGTGGGAGTAGGAATACTTATCCACCCAGAAAAACAACTTACAGCTGCCCAAACGTACAGAGACCGCTATACATCATTGAGGCACCACACTTAATAGAAATAGGTGGTGTGGTGCTTGTGGTCATGGAGATACTGTTATCGAGCTCATTTATAACCTGTGGGAGGCTGTGGGCAAATGTAAGTTTTAGCCCTCTGTTATGCTTTAATATCAGGCCAACATGTTTCAAGTTCTGAGTGTATCATGTTACCTTCAGGTACCTGTCACGTACACATGCAGAGGACACAGCAGACTACAGAGGTTGGATATGATACATGTTCCTTGTGCCTCTGGAATGAAATGAAAATCTGAAGGATGATAAAATCTGTGTTGGAGATACCAAACTATTCAGCAGAGACTTCCATATGGTAACCTGTTTATGATCATCTCCAACAGAATAAGCCAAAAAACATGTTGGCACATTTCAAAAATAACTATGGAGGACCCAGAGCATAGTAATGGGGCCGGATTCTCCTTCAACCCTAAAATCTTAATCTTATCTGAAATGAATATTATACTAAACGTCTGCTCCTCTCACATAGACCCTTAGTTTTATATCAATATTTTCTGTAATACTTTACATTGAACTCAGTGTGTTCCACATGACATTCAGTGAGATTGATTTTATCAGCACTTTTTTTTTTCACCTAAAACATTCATCCCAACCGGAGCTGAAGCTGACAGTAGAAACATTTGAGAAATAATCAAGTTTAAGAATATTCAACAGTCAAAATGAATAAGTAACATTTGCATCACACTGACAGAATAAATGAAAAGTTTCCCACATGTCCTGACAGTTGATTTTAATGTACAGCAGTACGGTATTTTAAATGTGCCATGACTGGGTTGTGGTGCAAGACATGTATGTTTTTTTCCTTTACAGAGTTATGTTCGAGTGGTTGATCGTGTTCCAGTTTGTTACAGACCTCCCGTTATTCTAACAATATAAGGTAGATTTGTTTTTAAGTCCTCATGTCACACCTCGTGGGTTGTGCGTCAACTGTTATTTGTTTAATGAATACAATTGTACAGGTTGTATAAAGTGTTGGTGAGATGATGGTGACAAAAGCTTTCTTGGCCCCTTGTACCAGGTAGAGTACCTCTTATGTCTTTGTGGATATTTTCCTGGTGTAAAACATATCAACAAAGGCTGTTAAAGATATCTCTACAGACATGGTAAATCTTGTAGGGTTGTTTGCTTTTGAAGGTCATACAGAGGCATCATTGTTAAATTGGTCTGTGTTTAATTGTGTTTATTAATACATTTGGATTTGATTGGATTTCTGCACACCAAGGTGTTTCACAGCTGCAGGGTTTACTTCATCTGCTGAGAGAGGCCAGCATTAAAACATGGGTAAATTGGATCAGTGTCGATCAGCACCCTTGGCTTTTAGAACCTCAGAGGCTCTGCTTGTCAACAGGCAAGGCAGGAAACTGCTTGGGGCTGTCATGATTTGGTCTTATTTAGTTTTGTATTTCAGTGTTTAGGTTTCCATGTTTTAATTTCTCCTGTCCATCCTAGCGTTGCATGTTTCCCTTGTATGTTTTTTGTCTTAATGTTTCCTAATGTTGATGGTTTTCTAGATTTGTCTTCAGTGTTTCCTGTTTTTATTTTGTCATTTATTATCCTCGTGTATCTCTGTGTTCTAGTGTGTTTTGTTTCATTCTTGAGTTCTGTGTGTCTTTAGTGTTTCATGATTTATTTTGTAGTTCTCCTCAGTGTTTCTTGTATTTTATTCCTGCCTCTGTGTGTTTCCCTCCATGTTGGTTGCCCTCATTGTCTTCACCTGTGTCTTG